GATGTTTTAGAATAAAACAGGTGATGATTGCATCTCGATAGGACCGGGTTGCTCAAATGTCAACATTGAAACCGTCACTTGTGGGCCTAGTCACGGGATCAGGTACGCTGTTTCTTCACACTTCTTAATATACTAGAACGACTCTATAGCACCTTGTCTAAAGAGTTAAGCATTTTTCACAAGGCTCGGCTCATATATTTGTTTATCTGCAGCATCGGAAGCCTAGGAGTACACAATTCCCACGCGTGTGTTTCTAACATAACAGTCAAGAACGTGAACATAAAAAACTCAGATAACGGACTGAGGATCAAGACATGGCAAGGAGGGACAGGATCAGTAACGGGAATATCATTCGAGAATATTCAAATGGACAATGTACGAAACAGCATCATTATCGATCAATACTACTGCTTATCAAAAGCTTGTAGGAACGAGACATCAGCCGTTTACCTAGCAGACGTGACATATAGGAATATCAAAGGTACTTATGACGTAAGAAGCCCTCCGATACACTTTGCCTGTAGTGATAGCGTCGCCTGCACGAATATCACAATGTCAGAAGTCGAACTTCTGCCATACGATGGCGTACTAGTAGACGACCCTTTCTGCTGGAACGCGTACGGTACTCAAGAGACATTAACTATACCTCCAATTGATTGCTTGCAAGATGGGATGCCTCAGAAACTAGCAGAGAGTTCATTATATGGTTGCTAAAACTGTTCAAAATTTGATTGTTTATGTATTAGTTTAGAGTACCGTATAGAATCCATCCCTTTGGGATTTATTTCTCTCATAGTGTGATGAGAATATTTGTATGTTTTTCCAAACTCTACTATGTAACAGAGTGCAGTTTTACCTAATATATTTAGAGCATGTCATTATTGTGCTAATAGCGTGTTTGATAACATGAATTGGATAGTATTAATTTATGAACAAAAATAAGTGAAAATCTTTTTCATTATACTATGGTGTCACTTCAAGCAGTGCTAACAATCATGTCTTAAATGTTACATTGTCGTGCATTTGGTAAGACAAGCTACAGAACACATTAAACTCTTGTTTGGTAGCAATTTTTTCTCCAAAAAAATTAATTTTTTGACTGTTATTTCATTATTTCAGCCATCATTTTTGACTTCCTTACTCATATGTGAGACATACTTTTCTTTCTAACAGTAAAAAAATCAATTATCATAATCACTACCGAACATGTTTTAAAAGTGATTCTTCTTAAATAATAAAATGTGTGTTGTAAGACGGAAAGTTCATTAGGGTTTATTGGTGAATGACAATTATACCTCTGCAGCCCTATAAATTATTACCATT